TATATCGGTCAAACATATATATGCAAATTTTCACCGAAAGACTACGCTCATTTAGAAAAAAAGAATATGTATTTTAAGGTTTTCCACACTAAGAATTTTAATGGTTCAAAGTACAAACACTGCATTTTTTTTATTATTTAAAATTTTTACCAATTAAATTATTGCAAAAATGCTTAGGTCGCCATATTTTTGGAGATGGGATATATATAGCCTATATAGGCTTAAATAAACTATATCATAAAAAGTATATGTCAACATAAAAACATCGTATAATTATGCTTTATAAACTGTGTTATAAAATTATGAAAACACTGGTTCAAATGCATAATTCAGATATTGAAAGTTCCGAAATACGTGATTATCAGGGAAAATGTTTCACATAAGAAGTATACCGTAAAGAAGATATCTGAGAAGGAGTTATTGCCCTTGTCAACATTTTTAAGTGATTGAATAATATGATTAAAATATAATTTAACAACAGTACACGTGCAGTATTTGTTCATTATACCCATAGATCCACCAAATCAAAATAAGGAAGAAATTTGCGTGTACACTGTACATGTATTTTTGTGTTCAATATGTGACTGCATATGACATATTTTAAAAAAGAATTTGTCTAGTATAGATGAATTTTTGAAGAGAGACTACGAAGATTTCCCCTCATTTCTCTTTTGAATGCATGGGGTTTATGCACAGGCACTTGCTTGGGAAATAATTTTTAACCATTATTAATTAGATTATTATACCATGGGTTAAAAATTCATTTCAGAAACAAGTGCCTGTGCACATGGGTTTATGTCGAAATTCAACGAGAGGAAATTAAAAAAAAAATGGAAGAAAATACATTGGAAATGCAAAAAATAAATATATTAGTATAAAATCTAAATTAATTAAGTTCAAAATACCAGTTATGAGTTTCAAAATTTGAACTCTGCAACTTTTAATGAACCGGAATCGTTTAATGATATTAATTGATCTTTAGACATTCGGGATGATTATAAGTAAGAATCTATTTCCTTTAATTAAGATGATTTTATACGAAATAATTATTTTTTTGCATAATCTCTACTAAAATAAGAACTCAGTGGTATCAGGTGTTGTTGAAAATTGTTACAGAACTTCGCGCCCTTTCCTTTTTTGATTGGAATCATAATAAAAATTTCTAAATTAACCCTGAAATGAGGAAGTATTTTGAATTCTCATGGTTTTTTTGTAGTTTAAACTCGTGAAAGTTTTAATTCAGTAATCATTAATGTGAGTCCCAACTACTTGAATGAGGTCGAAGTTACAAATTCCCATGTATATCCAAAAAAATTTCATGTACTTGTAAAAAAAATGTATTTCAAACCACATTTTACGTTTTTCGCATGGTAATTGATATTGTTATTAAAATACATTAATCATTGTTAATTAAATACAATCAATGCATTGAATTTTTTTTTTTTTTTTTTTTGATTTGTTTTAAAATGACCATTTCTTAATACACGAATCTGAACAAAACCCCTTAAATATACGAGGGCTGTTCTATAAATATTGTACTGAATTCTATGACATACAACAAAGATATCATATAACATTAAGTTTGACTTTCTCTCATTATTTTAAAATCTTGAATGAATTTATAACAGTTTATGTGACCACTTTCCATCACATACATGTAGTTTAATTGTGATAATCTGGAAAACAAGGGCTATAGGAGACATTGCATTAAGTTAAGAATCCCAAAGAAATATTCACTGAAATTTGTAAACTTTAAAGCATCCAATGTCTGTTTTATAGACACATGAGCAGGTGGATTTCAATGAACAAAATGATATAATGAGCATCAAAAATGGGTACCGTCCTTGGCGACAAAGACTTACAACAACCAATGTTCTATTTGCCAAAATTCAACAAATTATCACTTATGATGTTTGATTGACTTAAAGACTTACAGAAAATTTGATAGGAATCAATTTGAGGGTATATATAGTTAACACTATTCTTCAGAACAAACTAAGTACATGTACTCAATGGTCACTCTATGTTTCGAAAACTGAGTGAAAACGACAGCGTGTAAGAATATGTAACAATTGATTCAAAATATAAAAAAAAATGTAGTTATCCGCGTTTGTCTGTAATTCAAACAATTAATGAAACTTGAATCCATTGCTATAAAGCCTCAGAACGAATTAACATATGCAATAAGCTGCACTTGACAAAAAAAGCAAAAGTCTGAGAAGAGCAAAAAAGTGTAAGAACTCAAAAACAGTTACTTGTATAACATTAATTTTTCTTAACAAAGATACATTGCGGGTTCCAGTAAATGTTCAACCAAGCCTCTTTCGTTACTCCTCACTAAGATATTGACAGTAGTGAAGAAAAACTTCAAGAATACTGTTCAACCATATATTCAAGAAGTGGTGTGAAGCAGATGTGAATACTAAAAAATTCAAAAGAACTTTTGGACAATTTGAAATCACAAGATTTTACCAAAATCAACAGCGTAAAAACTTACGACTTTTCATTTTTATACACAACCATTGCCCATGATAAATTAAAACCCAGGCTTTTTTTTTTATATCATTAACATCTGCTTTTTCAATAAAAATGGAACTCGTAAATTACTTTCCTGGTCATTGGTCATTTGCAAAATTATTTTGTTAAAAAAAATTCTAATTGTACACACAAGTAATCTGAATTTGACATCAACAAGATGTTTGAGTTTCTGATTTACAAAATCTATGTTGTTTTTGGAGACCAGGTCTATGGGAATCTATTGGAATTCCCATGGGAACCAATTGCGCTCCTTATTAGCAGACCTATTTTTGTATTCATATGAAGCAGAATTTATGCAAAATCTTATGCGTGAAAAGAAGAAAACACTTGCCTTCAACTCAACCTTCAGATATATCGACGACGTATTGTCAATTAACAATGGTGATTTCCATTCCTACGTCGATACGATATATCCTGGAGAGCTTGAGATAAAAGATACCACAGAGTTTGACACATCTGTTTTTTACTTGGGTATTTTACTTGAAAAAGACGTTAATGGTAACCTCACAACCAAGCTATATGATAAACGTGACGACTTTAACTTTTCTATCGTCAACTTCCCTTACTTATGCAGCAATATACCTTCATCACCTGCATACGGAGTGTATATACATGTATCTCAGTTGATTCGATACATAAGAGCATGCTCTACGTATGAATAATTTCTGAAACGAGGTAAATTATTGACAAGCAAGTTGATGAAACAAGTATATCAGCAGTCTCGTTTAAAGTCATCATTTCGTAAGTTCTATGGTCGATACAAAGACCTTGTCAGCAAATGAAATTTATCATTGAGTCAAATGCTGACTGACGTTTTTCATACCAATTGTTAGTCCATTATTTATTCACTGAATTGACGACGGATTTTTCCGTTATTTCACGATCATGACAATTAGCACACGGCGGGTGTGACCGGTCAGCAAGGGATGCTCATTCCTCCATGACACCTGATCCCACCTCTGATGTTTCAGAGGTCCATGTTTGCTCTGCTCTTGTTTTGTATTGTTTAATGGACTTTGAGATTGAATTCTGTTCGTTATGTCCATATCCTTCTTAAATAATAGTGGTCTTGTTGTTCGAATTCTTATTCGGAGGGTCAGTTTAATTTCAAAGCGTTACTTTAACTTTATCTCACGGTACAGTGTATCTATTGACCCTGTCCATATGAAAAATTAACTTATTTAGTTCCAATGTCCCTTTTCAAATATGAGTACCCCGTGGGGATCCGGGTTAGAATAGGTCCTCAGTACCACCTTGCTTGTCGTAAAAGGCGACTAAATGGGGCGGTCCTTCGGATGAGACCGTATAAACCGAGACCCCGTGTCACAGCAGGTGTGGCACGATAAAGATCCCTCCCTGCTCAAAGGCCGTAAGTGCCGAGTATAGGCCTAAATTTGCAGCCCTTCACCGGCAATGGTGACGTCTCCATATCAGTGAAATATTCTGGAGAGGGACGTTAAACAGTATACAATCAATCAATCAATCAATCAAATATGAGTAAAATCTAAGTGCGATCATTTCCTATTAATTTTTTCCTTTGAGAGTCTAAGTATAGCAAAATAGACTTTGTGAAATCGAACAATATTCTTGATTTTTGAAAAATAAATGGTGTAATTGAAAACATTTGCAAAAAATAAATAAATAAAATAAAAATAATAAACGTAAGATACATGGCATGTATAATCCCACAATGCCATAAAACAAATTAAAATCTTATGAAGCATAGCTTTCATAAAATAGCATTTTAAATCAGAGGTTAGGATCTATTCTAATTTTTGAAGAAAAAAAAAATTAAATCTATTACTTTTTTAAGGAAATTTTTTAAATAATTTAAGAAGATTGACGCAGTTCCATTTAGAAAAGCCATGATACGTGTCATCTGTATTTTCTTTAATTTTTAATTGATTCGATACGCAAGAGTTTTCTCTACAAATACAATGGCTATTCAATATGTAATGTCCTTGGTGTTTGGAATGAAACAATAAAACGCTTAATAAATTTTCAATGACTTGTCTTAATGATTTCACTATTCATTGAAAAGCGTTTTTTTAAACAGCTAGTGATTCTAGTATTGGTGCACCAAATGAAGTCTCTAAATTAAATTTCCTGCGTTTCGTGGTAATTTTAGAGAGGAGTTGGAATTATAAGTATTATTGAGTAGAGGGTCTGCATTTATTTCATACTTTGATATAAGTTCAATGTTTTGATATGTCTGCATCCCTTTTATTCCTTACAGAACTTCAGAAATTTATTGATTTTATATGATGAATTACCAAAAAGATATTCATTTCTTTTACTCTATCTGTAGGCATATATACGAGGTGTTGCGGAAAGAACGATATGGAAAATGATATGTATTGTATTGTTCAGAGTTGGAAAATTCTGCATCAGCCCTTAGCAATAATATAGAATATTAAAATCTGCCAATAGAGACTGATGGTGGGTCTAGATCTCAGATACCAATAGTGGCTGCATAACATCACATGATCCAGGAAGAGTATATATATGGGCTTAACTACACTAAAGGGTTCACTTGTTTTACAAATGGAGGAAAGAGAACATGAAGAACATGAAGAACACGAAGAACATGAAGAACCTGAACACGAACAACACGAAGAACAGAAGTTTACAGAAAAGGTTTGTTGGGTGAATGGTCCAAAAGTAGACTAACCACATATACTTTAACTCACATTAATGATGCTCAAGTTTGAATACTTTATTTTTCCCAAATGCTTGGATGTTTCCTTTGCTTGTTAGGTTAATTATAGTAAACCTAGTTAGATGTTATTTTCAGATTGTCGAAATATGCAAGACCAGACCGAAAATGGTGGCTTTGTTCTTGATGTTTGTGACATTCTGTTTTTGGCTTGCGGCCATGATTTCTCCTGGGTGGTTTATCTTAAGATGGGAGGAAACAAAAACAATTAACAAAGTAAGTCATTGAAATGAGATGCTACGTACAGTGTACATGATTTCTTTTTAATCTTTAAAAGCATGTTGGGGCGGTATGTTCACAACATGATTATACATATGAAAGACTGTTGATTTTTCTTGCTTAGATATTTTTGATAACCATGCTTATTAAACAATTCATTAAGATTTCATTAGGTTATAGCAAGAAGAATATGACCACAAGCCAAATTTTGTCAATAAATTTACAATTATCAAAGTTATATTCACAGAAATGGAAGAATTCTTTTTGTTATTTTTTCAGTATGACAGATTTGAATATTTCAAATTGAAAAAAGATTCATTGACGCGGACTGAAACGGTAATATATTGTATTAGAAATAATATTTGTTCTTATTAATGATTGAAGTTTTTAACAGTACCTACAGATTAATAAAGATCCTGACCATAAGACTTAATGCTTTAATATCAATTCTTCTTTTTTCCCGTTTAGTATGAGATATTAACGAAAAACAAATAAAGCATTTATCCATTTTCTAATTTCAAAAAATACCGTAAAATCACATATTTCCGTGGGGTCAAATTTTCATGGTTTGAGGAAAAGTCTTTTTTCTTGGGAATTTGATTTCGTGAATGTAGACTTGTTGAGTAGCTATATATGTCACCTTTTACATTTCGTGATGGTCACAAATTCCTGGGTCTCTTCACACTTCGAAAACAACTAAAATTAAACCCCACGAAAATTGACAATTTCACATTTTTAATGATATGACTTTAGCTGATACATGTACCATAAAGCCCAAAAATTCAATTAAGAAATAAGGTATCATTTTTGAGTTTTAGTGGGATGTAAAACGGGGTAGTCATGTGAATAATTTTGAAATAGATCAATTTAAAATAAAGAAAATGTGCATTTATGAACTGAAAAATGTTAAATTAACACTGTGAAATCTATAGTAAAAATATTTTGATTAAAATTGATAAAAACTTTTATTTACTATTTCATCTACTATTTCTTTGTTGGAAAATAACATGTGTACTTTTTACATGAATGATATATACGTATATCTCTTCAAATGAAATATGAAATAATTTTTTGTAAGAGAATTCTACGTGTTCTTTTCAAAATACTTAAGTAAATAGAAAAAAACTCTCTTCAGATAAAATATTCCATAGAGATGAGTATATTTCACTGGAAAGTGTGTGCATCTGGAAAATGTGTCAAAATCAATTATAAAAAGCTCAAAAGAATGTCTAAAGACACGACAGATAGTCTACGTAAGTAGAACACAAAAAAGTTCCACATTGAACCCAGTTATTCTAATATTTAAACTGCTTTTACAATGAATTTGTTTTCAAAATTCAGATAAAAGACATGGTGGAATCTTTCAATAAACTACGTTAATTTAATTATCAGATATTTAAAGAATTTTATGCTTTTAAATCTTTGGTAAATGGATTTTTCTGCAATAATTTTTCAAAGTATTTTATCAGATAATTAATTCCTTCGTCTAATATTTCATTCCATTAGCTGGACTGTCTGAAATAAAAGGTGAAAGCATTTCAGCGTTATGCTTTTGTGCTTTGGGGTTCCTATGTCTTCTTTTTAACTTTGAAAAATCTTCAACAGTTGTCACTGGAGGGGGTTTCATGCTTTTCGCTGGTAAGAAGTCTTCAATTCTAAAATACATCTGAATATGTTCTAAAGCATGTAAAATATTACAGAAGTAAAGATTCCAAAGATGGAAGATTAAGTAGACTGCATATTGCTTTGCACAGTTCTATCCCATTGACGGAAAACGTGTTTGACATGTTTAAAAAATTTCAGCATTTTATATTGAAAAAAAAAATCATGTTTTATCTTTTAAGAGGGCTTTTATCCTTCCTTTACTTGACAAGTTAATTTATTTACCAAGGTACCATAGTGATATATCTTGAAAATATGAACTCGAATATAAAGAAATCGTGGTGATATTTTTCAGAAATAAATAATTTTCTTTGTTTTTAAGCTGTGCTGGAGTTAATCCTGGTTATTCGGATGATCGCAGCAAACACAGAAGTGAAGGATGATATAGACGCTATCAAATCAATCCTGGATTCTGAAAATATTTCGATAGAACTCGAGGTCCCTTATTCCGTGATTCTTGCCTGCTTTGGGATTATTTTAAGTCTCCTTGCGCTATGCTTCTGTAGAGCGTTATACTTAAAATTGGGACAAGAGACCGCCGACGGACGGGTGCCGAATTTGTTTCCGATCTCCTTTCCTATCAAATTCACACTTCTAAGAATAGATGTCTAATTTGAAAAATTCTATAATGGCATCATTGTATATTTTCTGTTTACGGTTTTTTTTTTATAATTTTAATTAAAGGTAATCCATGTAAATAATTATGTTATGATAATTTTCAACATAGTAGATGTTTTATTTAATCACGCCAATTTTTTTTCAATTATAAATGTTTTTTTTTTTATAAACAAGTTTTATTGTTGTATATGTATACAATCCATTAAGCTGTATATGTGCTTACGAATTACAATACAAGTAATCTATTTTATGATCTACAATATCTGTGAGTCATATATATGTCCATTAGATTGTTTTGAAAATATTTAGTTGCAGAACTGTAGCTCTCCGAAAAAATATATTGACATACCGGAGAGCTACAGTACCACTTATTGAAAAAACTGTATATTTATTGCGCACAAAAAGTGCGCTGTCTCTCGATTTATTTCTCCATGTTATCTCAAAATATTACTTACCTTGAGTTCCTGACATATTTTTCATTTATTCCACAAGAAAACATTCATTAATTTTATTTATACTGCCATTTTGGTGCAAGATAATTCGGTCCAAGTTACTTCTTGCAGATGTCAACTACGAGAGTATTTCGTAGAGAACTAAGCATTTTTTTAAAATTGATCTTTTTCGCGAATGGGGTAAGAATTTGGAAGAATTAATCCAGAACTAGGCGCAACTTTTTGTGCGAAATAAATATACAGGTTTCACGCTCGGTTGCACTGCAGCTCTCCGGTCTGTCAATATATTTTTTTCGGAGAGCTACAGTTCTGCAGCTAGAGAATATTCTAAATACAAAAACTAAATTTACGGAAGTAATAACTACAATTCACACAAAACACAGTTCGCATTTAATACAAAGATTAATCTATAGCATGTATATATTATCGTTTTAAACAATAAACTGTCTTTCTTTGTTTGTTATTACTGGAATTAACGGAAGCAGCTGTTGCAGAAAAAATACATAACCCGCGTAAATTTTTTTCTGCAATAGCTGCGACCGTTAATTCCAGTAATAACAAACAAAGAAAGACATTTTATTGTTTATATTTATATCTGTTTAAATAATCATTTAAAGTAGGATTAAAAAGATTAATTATTGTATTCATGATGCGAACGTCTTTATACGTTTCATTGATGGAACAGCCACTGATCAAGAAATCTGTACAGGCGTCATGCCTAATGTAGTTCATGCAGCGATTAACGCAGTGGGTTTTCTTAAGAAATGAAGGAGAAAATATTCAGTAGTTGTAAATATCCTTTTATGAATCGTGCGTCAAAGATTTCAATAAGAAAGGAAGTTTTTCTATGTAAATTTTTAATGTAAATTAATGAATGACTGGTCCTTAAAGCTCATTTGGTTAACGTACTTAAAATCATTATCTCAAACAGAAATGGATAAGAACAAAAAGTAAGTGAGTAACCTAAGGTAACAAGATTTTATTTTTCAGGATAACTGAGGACGCATATTCCTTAATATTTACGTTTCCAATGTCTTTGTTCGAGATAAAATTACAAATAGCCAATGTACTTTATTTTTCCATCAATATACCGGTTCATCGATACATGATTCTAATGACTATACTCTCGGATATTTGAACGGTTGACGTATAAACACCCTACTCCATCGTTCTGGTTGGTTTTATTTTAATGGTTTAAGGTGTGGATTCTGTTCGTTATCCGTATCCAGGAACAAAAGAACAGTCCAGAAATGATCAATCCATATCTCCCCACAGAATCACGAATCATCAAGACAATGACTAATTTCCACTTTCAAAGGAGAATTCTACATTAGCTGAACTGTACAGTGTAGTCTAGATTTTAACATACAATTTTGGCTCTATTTATTGAAACATATGTAATATTTATGATAGATACTGCTATCTTTTTCTCATATTAAATAAGGAATAAGTAAAAAAAAAATTGTCAGTATCGCCATGAATAATTTTGAAAAAGATTTATTAAATGTATTAGTATGCAAGTGAACGATTACAAATACTTTTGAAAAACTAAAGTGCACATAATAAACAACATGTCAGGGCATTAACTACAGCTAATGACTAATTTATCCCCACGTCATTTAGATCGAAAATGGAGTCTAGACTATACATTTATGATTTGTTTATGTGTTTTTATTGTTACAATTTATTTTTAAAAAATTGTCGACCGCAGACAAATTCAATTATTTGACAAAGAGTCATACAACACATTCACCAAGACGGAATGCCGTATAAGGGTATGATGCAATGGTCATTTATAACATCATTAACATTTAAAATTAATTGAAATTTATAAAGAAAATTGTTATGAAAATTACATTTTGTAAAACAGGCTAAAAAAGATTATGATAACATAGATTATTATTTCTTCACATAAATGAATGTACTCTTATTATGGTACACTGTGTTAAAATTTTAATGAATTTAAACAAAACTTTAATTTAAAAAATTTCAATTTTTGAAGGGAAATCATAAAAGGAGGAAATTTTACTGGAAAAAGATAAAAGAAATTCAGAGAAATTTTTATATGTCTTTTACTACCCTTATTCATTTATTTGAAAGAATAGTTGTAGTCTATATTAGACATGTAATTTGGCATACATTTTCATAGACCATTTGTTCTATAAGTTAATAATATTTTCCATGTCAACTCAGTGAAATATGACAAAAACGAACAGAAATCAAACTCAAAAGTCTATTTAAACAATACAAAATGGGGATACAGCAAGCATGGACCTATAAAAACGCGGGATTAGGTGCCATGGAGGTATAACCATCCCTGTCGATCGGACACACATGTTGTATGCTCCTTGTCATGATCAGGCAAGCAGAAAAATCCATTATGATACATGTAGTTTTGTGTGTTCAAATAATTGCATGACATCCGTTAAAACGTCAGCAAACGCTAAGTTCAACGGCTGATTACATTCGCCCGACAAGGTCACTGTTTCGACCATATTGCTAGCAAAATATGGACTTTTTGCTTCACTGTTGAGATCCTTGTTTCTTCAAACTTTTTGTCATTAGTAAGCTTTGTTTTAGAAAATTGGTAGGACGTACAACATGTTTTTGTATCGAACCAACTGGGAGACACAAAGTCCATAAGCAAGAGATTAAAGGTATATTGCTACACAATTTATGGAAATTGGTGATAGAAAAGTTGGAATAAATACGTTTATCAAAAAGTTTTGTTCTTTTTTGTAAAATATCCATATATAAAACAAATTATCAGACTCTACGTTTCTTTTATTTTGAGCTCAAATGGATACAAAGAATGAACGTAAGAGAAAAACATGTTACTTGTAATTAATAAAACGTCGTCAATATACCTAAATGTTGAATTCAATGCCAGAACAAGAGACTTTTCTTTTATGTTGAATTTTCTGAATAGATTGTGCTTCATAATATAAAATTAATTTCTATGAAAGAACTTTTACAAATTGGAAATTTTTCATCTAATTTGAAAAATTATATACTAGTCAAAATTTCCAAGTTCCCAGGCAAGTTTTTGCTTTACACCGCTCTTACATTGAATTATTTTAACAGTATTATTTAATAAGTATATTGCATAAAAAAGTTGCAATACAATTTCTCGCACTTAATTTATGTTATTGAAGCACTTTAACACAATATGCAGAAACGTTAAGGCACCCTAGAATTAAAAATTCACAACGTTAAATAATTCGTTATCCTCCATTCAAACGAATTCACAGCAAGACATCTGTTCCTCAAAGAGTTCACACATTTAAGAAAAATTCTTTTATGTATTCTTATGCTTATATGCAAGCTCACCGCAGCTTGTTTTTGCTAATTTTGTATAAGTCAAATAAAACACTTTCATAGAGATGAATAATGTCATTTATTAAAATGACGGTATAAATGTGAACAATTTAACAAACAAGACCTTAGATGGCACGGATGTGATCTGCATGTCACATCTAACATGGATGTGACTTGCATGTCACATCTTGTGGCCTATTTTGTGTTGATGTGCCATCTTTTTGCTAACTTTTTCATATGAAGTTTTCATTGTCTTGTCTTACAGATACTTTTTTCTAGTCAGTTTTGGGGGATCAGACATTATCATATTTTACGTAACTGCTAATCAAAGCTTGTGAATCTGATCCCCTTCTTGTTTGTTAAATTGTTCACATTTATACCGTCATTTTAATAAATGACATTATTCCTCTCTATGAAAGTGTTTTATTTGACTTATACAAAATTAGCAAAAACAAGCTGCGGTGAGCTTGCATATAAGCATAAGAATACATAAAACAATAATTTTTAGAATAATAATTGTATTTATATATTGAATGCGATAACTCAGTTGGATGTTTCCGGTAGGATTAATTTTGGTAAATTGTGAAAATTCTTAGATCCACGCCTTGGTTGATGGATTACGTGTGATAGAAGGTGTAAGGTCACGTGGTCAGCTCAGCGAGTCATTCATTTGTATTGTGATAACCCGCATGCTGCCCAAGCTAAAATGAGGCACGTCTATTTTGAAGACCCTCCTCCACCCCTACATTCCTACCCCTAAAAATGTGTATTAATGTGTCATGTAAAATCACATATTTCATTAGTTCTGACTCGATCTGTTTATACTGTTTTATGTATTTTGTTTCACTTCTATCCTTGGCCTATTTTGTTTTGATGTGCCATCTTTTTGCTAACTTTTTAATATGATGTTTTGATTCTATTTTGTGGCCTATTTTGTGTTGATGTGCCATCTTTTTGCTAACTTTTTCATATGAAGTTTTCATTGTCTTGTCTTACAGATACTTTTTTCAAGTCAGTTTTGGGGGATCAGACATTATCATATTTTACGTAACTGCTAATCAAAGCTTGTGAATCTGATCCCCTTCTTGTTTGTTAAATTGTTCACATTTATACCGTCATTTTAATAAATGACATTATTCATCCGTTGTAACAAATCTTCAAAATAGACGTGCCTCATTTTAGCTTGGGCAGCATGCGGGTTATCACAATACAAATGAATGACTCGCTGAGCTGACCACGTGACCTTACACCTTCTATCACACGTAATCCATCAACCAAGGCGTGGATCAAAGAATTTTCACATTTTACCAAAATTAATCCTACCGGAAACCTCCAACTGAGTTATCGCATTCAATACATAAATACAATTATTATTCTAATAATTGTTGTTTTATTGAATGTTTTTCCATGTGGAGACTAGGTCGTCCTCTAGTTCCGCTAGATTCTGCTGCTGGAAAAGCTGTCTCAAACTCCGGTCTATCTTCTTCTATACGTGTAAGTTAAGGTTGAGATTAGGATGACAAGGGGGCTTACCGAAAGTGCCTGTGCCTTGCTGACAACAGTTACATAATGTTTCATTACATGTATATTCCCCACTGTTCCAGTTTGGCATTGAGGGGAGGACACTTCCGGTTCTGGTTCCATTGATTTTTTGGATAAAGTCTAGGATGATTTGGTTGCGTTTGTTGAAAATCTAGCGATTTCTAATGATTAGAAGGAATTCAGGTATGCTTCTTAGGTTTTTCGGGCGGTAATTATAAAGGTTTTAAGTAAAATAAAGTCATACAGTGAAAAGAAACAGAACTCTCGTTAAGTATGACCAGCTTAGTCCATTTCAACAAAAACGGTCACGATCGAGTAATTACATATTCGATTACAATTTTTTTGGCCTTGACAGGTAAGTATTGCAAATTGAAGGCAAAATTTTAAGCAACTAGTACATTGATGTTAAGGTTTTGAACTTTTAGAAAAAATAGAAGTGGGGACTTAGAAGTTTTGACAAGTATACATGGATCATTATAAAAGTGGTTGAGATGGCCTTTTTGCACTTGTATAAAGCATCTAAAGTCGTTTGCATTTAGTTTCAAAAAATGGTTTCCGGTATGGGAAACTGTGTCATCAGCCCTTCAACAGAGGTTGTCAGAACTCAAGTAGGTAACTTTAAAAATTAGAATACAGAAATGATATTTTGTTGTTTTTTCTACATCGGATATAATAGACAACGACAATGTATGTATAATAAACTTACGTTCCTACAGAATACTTTTATTGATTTCTTTTTGGTTTTTACTGTACATTTATTTCCATTTCGTTGAAATTTAAATTTATATCAATACTAGTATTTCAAGATATTTGTTAAAATTATAGGTTGCAGATTTCATGTTCTTCTTTTATATCGAACAAAAGCTATAATTAGAGAAGTAGAATTTCTGGAAATTTTAGTTAAATACGGAGACAACTATAAGGTAAACGTATTGACTACAATATTTGTATATAAAAATAAAGTATTTTTCTTAAACAGATAAACTGTTTATTTACTCAACGATAGACATGTTGTCGGCCAGTTTCCAAAATAAAACTATATTTTTACTGTTCTGAGCAAGTGCATTGCTCGGCAGCGTCAATTTAACTGACAATTACATTTTGAAGTAGATGGAGTAAGAAGCCTCTAGAACGTCGAAAAATATCTGTATTTCAATTCTTTTATAACAATTTTTATTAATTATGTCAAATTGTACACAGCATGTGACTTTAAGACGTTAATAACATACCATTCTAAAAAAAAAAAAAATATTAGAATTTATTTATTAATCAGACAAAAGAAAAAAAAATATTTTAAAAAATCATTACAAACTTAATACAGGTGTATATAATAATATTTGAAAACATGATTTTTTTTTTCAAATCACGTAAATGGACAGTTTTCTATAGCTAATTGACAGATGATTCATAATTTTTATGTCATTTGTTTGTTGTTTTGCAAATCAACATTACTGTTTTTATAAAAGTAAGTATTCTATTTTACGGAAATAATTATATCAATGTATACCGTGTTTTATGGTAAACAGTCACAATTTATTCCAAATTAAAGTAGGACAAAAAGTGAATCGACAAGTGCAATACGTCATTAGTATACTAATAGTAAAGAACACAGGAAGTTTTTATGATTGTTGTTATTATTTTTATTTTTAAGCATTACTTCATAATACACTGGGATACAGAGCTCACCTGAAGTGCTTCAAAAACAAAAATTGGCAAGTCAGTCTAAATTTCAATCAATTACGTCTACGACTCTAAGAACTTCAAGATACCACAAAGAGATCAAAGTAAATTAGGCTTATGCAAAAAAGTTTTCTGTTCAAAAGTTGATATAAGGAAATTATGTTTTTTTTTAACTTGTCTTCAATTCAAAACTCAGCCTTCGAGATGTCACTTTAATGTTTTTATAATTTTAGCATGTATTGCTGCGATTTTCCCCCATTTGAAAAACCTTTGAAACAAAGACCATAATATTCCAGTTTGTTAAATGAGCAAAAAACTTGTCTGGTCTTAAAACAATTTAGGTGCAGTCTTTTGCATAATGTAAATATTTTTCTAAAGAGTAATAAATATCATAAGAGTAAATATCATAATATATAGACAAATGGGTATATTAATAGGGTTCGGCGAGCTAAAAAAAAAAACAACGTACACGGGGACAGTTCATAACAAAAAAGTTTATTTGCACGTGTAGTTATATAAGAGAAATGATTAAAAGGGTTGCGAAATTTTCAGATAAAAGGCATTTATTTGCATATATTAGCAAAGTGTTTCTTTTAGTTATGGTAACCACTTAATAGTAATCGTCGTGCATTTTTCTTATGCTGTTTGAATTGTGTGTCGGAATAAAAAACATTTGAAGAAATGAACTTTGCTGATATTTTTGAAATACATTCTGTTGATTTTCCTTAATTTAAAAGGTCGACTTGTCAATGATCTAATTAATTTATATAATTAACTAATTAATTCGTCTTAAATGAAGGAGGGATGGTTGCAAAGTTCAAACTAATTAAACTTTTACATCTAATGCACAAAAGCGAAAGGCATAATTCATTTATGCATGGAGTGACAGTTTGAAAATATTTTCACAAGGTTTCAACTTTTTCAAACCTGAGACGATCAAAATGGATAGAAGACTCGCATTATTGTTAACTTTGATGACAGTGTTTATTGCTTTGGGTTTGTGGTTGGCGTCCATTTTAACAAGAGGCTGGTTTGTTGTAACTTTAAAAACAACTAGCATTCAGCCGACATCCATTCTTAAGGTAAGTCTTTTATGTTCTTTAAATGTTTAAGCATTGTGTGTATCCAAACGGCAGTACCATAAGTGAAAAGTATATATATATACTTCATTAAAACGGTATTTATACTGCGTTGATGGACGGATAGAACAAGGATAATATAGAAGAAAAATACATGGAAAATTCGTAACATAATCAAAAGAAGATAAGAGATGGTGTCAAAAAGTTTAAATTATTAATCAAAAGATGCAGTGATATAATTGTACATTGATGTGTCTTTATGTGCTGATAAATGAAGCTTGTTTTTTATAAATGCATCCTTCAGCTAAATCCTTTAAATGAAATTGTTCTACAAAGATGCAATAACTTATTAAATGATTTCTTCCTCATTTTGCAGAACATTTTGTCATTGAACTCGCTTTTAAATCTCAACAACATTATTCCATCCAAAAGAGTAAGCTTTCTTTGAAAAAATTGCATTTACAATTTGATTTTGCACAGTTTCCTAAAAAATATATAAAGGCATTTAGTTTTAAAATATATATATTATATTTTAATATCTAAGTAAAAGGAATAATTTGATTTATTCTTTTAAAATATTTCATATTTCCTTTTTTAAAACTATAGAGTAACAAAATTCGGATTTCAATACCGTGATTGTTTTTAAATTCCAGATTTCTTTGCCGCCAGTGCGTGTAGAACTGGGAATTTTTCATTGTACACTGTGTACGTCTGGTAATTGTCTTCGTGTCCCTCTTGACAATCTCCCTTCACCAGTATCTGCCCTGGTGAAAAAACTGCGTAAGCTTTTATCTTCTCTTGTTATTTATACCCTTATATTAGAATTACAGACCCTAGACCGTGCTACTACACCTCAGAAACGAACCGTACCGTTCCGTGCAGAAAGCGCACCGTACCGTGCAGAAAGCGAACCGTTCCGTGCACAAAGCGTACCGAACCGTGCCGTTCAAGTGGTGTAGTAGCACGGTTTAGGGTCTGTAGCTCAGTCATACAGATACAAGTTACACTGAGTTGTTTAAAAAATATGCCACAAAAACTTTTCAAAACCCCCAATTTTATTATAACAAAGTTCAATCTTAAAATTTTATATGTACACGTATAGTTGTTTTCTGTAAAAGAAAAAAATATATTGAACAAGATTATTCAAAAGATTCAGAATTTTTTTCATCAGATTTGTTTTTTTTCTGTTTTTTTTTTTTCAGCTAAGTTATTAGAACTTCAGATAACGAGTTCAGTTGCCCTATCGTTATGTGTCATTGGGTTTTTACTTCTGATGTTAAACTGTGGATCATCATCGAAGGTTAAGGCCGGTGGAATTGTCGTACTTTTGGCTGGTAAGACTACAAATTGTGTGCCTTCAAATGGCTTTACATTATGTCGGTAAGACACCAATGATCTCTATTTCCAAGTGGGAAAAAATAATTTTTTTTGATTCATCACATTTAATAGGTATCAATGATTTTTTCATCAGCAATGAAAAGCATCTTATTTACACTTATATTATGAAATAATAGATAATGACTAAGACTTCCTTACTCTAAAATTTTTATCGTTTACAGCTCTATCTGAATCCATCTTGATTCTCCGAATGGTTGTAGCAACGGTTCAAGTGGCGTTAGACACTGTGGAATCCACACTCGGTCTATTGAACCTAAAGGTCATAGAAGTTGAAGTTCAGACACCCTTCTCCGTAATTCTGGCGGGTATTGGCCTGGTTTTTGTCATACTGGGTTTGATTTGCAGTCGTATTTTATACTCAAAACTACTAGAACCGTCCACAGATGGTCTAAAGTCTTCGATTCCTGCTATCAATCTTGTCATCCAAGAAGAAAGGTTTTAAAACTTTTTAAGTATAATCTAGTCTCATTAGGTTGTATTTTGAAAATGATGGTTTAAGGGATGTCTGTAATTTTTCATCTTCGCTAGCCCAGGGTTTCTGATACGCTACTCTCCTCATAATCATGAGGAGAGTAGCGTATCAGAAACCCTTGGCTAGCGAAGATGGTAATTTTTACGTAATATGTCAATTATAAAACTATGGACATTTTCAGCTTAATATTCTACTATTAAACAAGAGTTTAAAAAAAATAAAATAACTATTGACTTTTATGCAATTTTAAGTCTTCTTCCTACCTTTTTGAGGGGGGGGGGTTAAATATGAATTAGACTAAGATTTTAGAATACAGCTGATTTTTTAAAAAGTTTATTTTTAGAAGTACATGTTTATTAATTTTTTTGTTTGCAATATTATTCATTAAAATTTAGAACTTTTTCAATTTTCAATAACGTTAAGTAAATAAATTTATTAGTTGTGTATAAACTGTCGGTGCAATTTTACCATTTTGTCACTATAAACCATATGCACTATGCCATTTTCAATGGATTACTGATTTGCAGTATAGATGCCGGTAGTTTCGATAGTTCTGAAATCAGCTAGAGTTACTTCCCGTTGGCTGCCATATTGGAGGTCCAAATGATCAAATTTCTTCTTTGTTCAACCAACTTTTACATTTCATATATTATGCCATTTTGGTATATAAACCATTGTTTTTCTGAAGTATATTTAAGGAATAACTGTCTTATTTTTCGATTTCATGAAGTGATCAATCCATTGGCTTGCGTGAAAATTTGCATAAACGCCGAAGGCGTTTATGCATAAAATTATCACGCAAGCCAATCGATTGATCATCTTCATGAAATTGAAAAATCTGACAGTTAAACCTTATATTTACATGCTTTGATTCCACCAATCCACGTGCTCAAGCCTTGCTTCTGTCTAGCTGTTTGTTCTGCCCTGCACGTGTTTTTTGGAACCGCGCCAATACATTGATGGGGAAATAAAGTACATTTACAATTTGTAATTTTATCTCGGACAAAGACATTGGAAATGTATATATATATATATATATATATATATATATATATATATATATATATATATATATATATATATATATATATATATATATATATATATATATATATATATATATATATATGTACGATTGCTGATTTTAGGCCTATCGGTTTTAACTAGTATATTTATTGTATGTTATGTGAATTTTAGGATTGTTATTCAAGCATATAATTTTTTTTTTTTGGTAAAAAGTAAACATAAGAGGCTTTTCAATGGAATATCACTGAACCAGTGAACAGAAATATTATCAAATGTCATATTAAAGTTAACTTGAAAACGTTAAACAGACGGGAAACATTTCTTTTATTGTTTTGGGGAATTCATTTTCACTTAGAATAATAAATCGTCTTAAAATGAAAAGGGGAAGAAAAATTTTATATAATAAGGGTCTTTAAAATAATAAGGTAAATATTCCCTTTGTATTCAAAATTGAAAAAAAAACATAAGTGAGAAATGAATTTTTATTACTTACACCGAGTTTCTGTTTTTTGCAAGAAAAAAACCCAATTTAAGTTGTTTGCTTCTATGACATGTGTGTCATTTATTTTATATGCATTATTCACAATGTGCTTAACAATAATTGAAAAATTAAAGTATGACGAAATGTCTCCACGTTGACATCTTTTCTGAAAATTGTGCAATGGTTGCTGATTTTATCCAAGACTTGTTTTATCAAAAGACGTGTTGATTGTCTTATCTGCCATCTAATTTATCATAAAACTTTCTCTACTACAATGAATCCATTATTTTCTCGTTTCCAGACTCTGACTCTGTTTGCACAAATGCTAGTAATAATAATGTCATTATGTCAAAAGTCAACCTTTTTTATGTGAATGTGTAGAGCATGACACATTAGGTATCATAACCACATGCACACTGTGTCACAAATAATGTGCTTATTAAATGTATGCTCAGATTTTCTTGTCTATTTGTTAATTAAACAAATTTTAGTGAGTCATTTTTAAGTCTTAATTAAGGACATAAATGAAAACAAAAAGAATAAAAGAATGTTTCATTTTACCTCAAAGAACATTATTTTCGTCTAGAATCGCCCCATGGTTTTATCGATTAATATTTACATCCACTTAATATGTTTCCTTCATTTCTTACGAAGACCATTTCCATTAATCAGTACATTCCTTAAGGACGTTCGATCCAGAGATTTTTGAGTGGATTTTGGTCCTTTGTATATAAAATTCTACATCATTTTTAAGTTCTAACATTAAAGCTCATTTCTACAATGCAAATTGAACTGTATTTAAAACAAACGCGATTAAATTCCATGTAAGTAGAATAAAGCTAAGGACTATATTTTGTGGCGGAAGGTTTTTTTTAGAAGAAAATGATCAGTTTTCCCCTTTTGAAATATAACAGTACATTTCAGGGTTCTCCATCATTTTAAATTTTACTGTGTTGCAGAGTTTACGCCAAGCACTAAAACGCGGTATTTTCACGTTCAAATTCGCAACTGAATTACTATTCATTAGAATTATAAAAGAATACATGCACACACTTTTTAAAAAAAAATCGCTAATTCGTTACACAAATGGTATGGTCGTACATACATTGATAAAAGTAAACACACATGTTCTGTACTGTTAATTTTAGATACTAGTACCTATTTTTCCATGTTGGTTGCACACAAAGCTGTTTTTGCAGTAAAATAAGCTATGCTGGTTCTGAAATATCTATTAAATTATTTCTTATGAATTCTTTCAACGAAGTGTGACAAATATAGTCAATATATTCTGAAAATCCGGGGGGAAATTGAGCCAATTTTAACGTAAAATCAACACTTTTTTAAGCTATATCTGAAAATTTACATCATATACCCCCACTTTTGATGTTATTTTCTAAATATTTAAGATAACTTTGATTTATTTGCTTGTATTCAGAAAAAGTTGAAGACTTTGAATATCAGGATCCAACGTCGTTAAAACACATCATACAAATCAAATATGTGTTTTTTTTCCTTTCTTTTACCAGATGTGCAACTTGAAAATTAGTTGAAAAGACTTCTTACTGGTAAAAGGTGAACCCGGGCGCAACGTGTACACTGCACATAACCACTTTTAGAGTACATGTAGTTTACTTTACAACTAATTGTAAAATTATTAAGTATTAAAGGTTTTCACATCAGTACATTCAGCCTACATATGCTCACTTCTTTGAACTACAAAACACAATCTCTTTATAAAGACAAATATTACACATTGGTATATAATTTGACTTTATGACAATGATTACTTAAGCAAGTCAATTGTGACAAAATTTACTTTAAAAAATGGACGTCTTTATTTGATCACCTGAGTCACTCAGGTAACTTATTGCTATCCGTTTTCGTCCGTCGCCGTGCGTCATGTGTCGTTTGTTAACATTTGAACATTTTCCGCTTCTTCTCTGCAATCGCTCAACCAAATTCAACCACCAGTTTTAGCACAAAGCATCTATGGGTGAAGGGGAACTTCTGCGGGGGAATTTTATGTTCCTGCCTCCCTGAGGAGCGGGGCAAAAACCACTAAAATTGATGCAATCTTTAAAAATTCTCTTCTGTACTCTTTGACATCAAGCAGTCAAACTGATCGGATGAATGTAATAAGCATTGTGTCCTCTACCCGTATTGTGAAATTCATGGCCCCAGGGGTCCTAGTGCTAGGACAGGGCTATATAGATTAGATAGTGAAAATGCATTATTTCTGTGAAAATCTTCTTTTCCGCTCCTCGGCATTATACAAACAAACTTGATGTATAGTAATGATGAGGAAGGGTGGCTCTGAAATGACGAAAAGTGATATTCGTAGAATATTGACCGGGGATCAATTTTATACGTAGAAATTTGACCCCCTGGTCAATATTCATCAATTTTCTGTATAAATTATGGTATTGGGGTATTTCTCCGTGTGCATTGTAGAAAAATGACCCCGTAGAATAATGACCCCTTGTCATTTTTTGATGCATTTGTTTTGGTAGGAATATTCGTGTTAGGCGAATGCATACGAGTAATATTAAGTAGCCTTATGATATGAAATGTTAATTTCTGACAGCTTTTAAGCTTAAATAACGAAACCAAAGCTATACTCTACCTTACATTGATAATACAAACCGTTTTATCCCCATTAAAGGAAAACAATATATATTAAAATGTAACAAGGCTATTAGAGCAAAGATACGCGAGTTCATAGAATCGTACATTTCATTTTATACAATAAGTTTCAACAGTTGTCATTTTAATCTTTAACAAGAGCCCCATAGGCCACATTGCTCACCTAAAAAGTTGGGTGATGCAGTTCTTTGCCATATTTTCCCTCTTGTTTTACCTATTGTGGCCCACTATCCCCTCCCCTGTCATGATTTTCATACTCTAGAATCTACACTACCCCAGGATGCTTCCGCACAAGTTTCAGCTTTCCTGGCCCATGCAGTGGTTCTTGAGAAGAAGATTTTTTCTATATATTTCCATATATGACTTGGATCCCCTATTGTGGCCCCGCCCAACCCCCGGGGTCATAATTTTTACAATTTAGATTCTACACAGAGCTAAGGGAATTGAATTTATGTAATCAAATTACATATCGTTCTTTCTTCTATGTTATGTTTTTGGATTTGTAGAAATTTTCAAAGTTTAAGGTTATCAGAAACATATGCCATTTTCTGAACAAAACCTTTGAATGATAAAAAAAACACCCAAAAATATAATCGGAATTCTATGCTCCTCAATGAATTGATATTCATTGGGATTCTGCGAGCCAAAAAAATCCACAAATTGATTGTGATGCTACTATTAACATATGGAATCAAATATATGTTGGAAAGGATAAGAGTGCATACCCCCTCCTTACATTTGAAAGTATGAAAATATATCAGGAGACACAGCTAAGAGGTTTTATGGTATAAAAAAGTAGGGGGTCATATTTCTATGGGGGTCATTTTTCAACGGGTGTGGAGTCGTAGAATTAGTGGTCTGGAATGTTTTTCTATGGTCGAAAAATGACCCTATTTGTCGTAGAAATTCTACGGGGGTCAATTTTCGTTTTTACACCTCTTCAAAAAAATTTGAATATCATTGCTCCCAGGGTCAGGGGTTCTGTTGTTTTGGGGGTACTCTTTTAATTATATAGTGAAAACGCATATAATTCTTTGAGATTTTTTTTTCTCTGCTCCTGAGTATTTAACAAACTATAACTATACATATAAAGTTATGATAAGGAAGGTTGCCTTTTTTAGAATTGTGAATTTCCTGACCCCAGGGTCGGGAGTTCTAGCCTAGTATGCATTAATTCTTTAAAAATATTCTTCTTTTGCTGCTGGGTATTTAACAGACTACCATGTAACTACATACAATGTTATGCTATAAGCAAGAGCCAATCTTCCAGAATTGTGAATTTCGAGGCCCCTGGATCAGGATACCATTGAGGGCGTGGGGGGCTAAATTATATACCGAAAATGAATTAATGCTTTGAAATCTGCTCTTTGATAATAATAAAACATTAATTTTGAACAAGGATACCTTTTCCAAAATTGTAAAAGGTGTGGACCTAGGGTCAGGGGTTCCTGTGGGGTGGGAGCACTAATGATTATTGCTGAATATTACTGATTAGTTGAAATGCATTTTTTGTTCCCCAATTCGCCCATGGGTATTTAGTAACCAAACTAAATATGCTAAGTGCATAGTTATGATGAGCAATGGTGATTCTTTCAAAATTGTGAATGCCATGGCCTCTGGCTTAAAACACGAACCAAATTCAATTGTTGGAAAGTTGTCGAACAATGCCCAGGTGACCTACGTGTATAAGACCCATGGGCCTCTTATTTGGGATGTTTCAAGAATTGTATGCTGTTTTCGAACTAATTAAAGTTTAAACAGAAAGATTTTATGATCATCTGTCGTGAACTTTATTGCTAATTAGATTGTCTTATCTGCAGCATTGATACGGAAATTTATTTTATAACCAAACAAAATGTAAATTCACCCGGCGTTCTTTTTCACCGGTATGTATAGGATACCTCCGTCTATTTAAACTGTTCTCCAGAAAAGGGAGATTCCCCATAATTTTCCAGTTTTCATTCATTGGGTATTTGATTTACACTTGAGTGCTTTACGCTTTACATTGATCCAAACATAGAATTATTATATAAAACGTGTGTTCCATCTCATTTTGGTAGGTATCATGTATTGATATTTTCTATCTATTTTGTTTGGGGACAAAGTATGAATAATAATGCAATAGAACTTTTTGCATTTATTATTTCAATGAATATTAATTATTGTGACATTCAATTTTCACTCCTTTGAGTATTTGGGTAAAAGTGATGCAATGCATAATTAGAAATATAAAATATTTAGTTCCCGATGTTAAGTACTTCCATGATATAAAAAAAGCTCAAGCAAATTAAGACATTAAGGAATAAATTACCTTGAATTTTAACTTTAATTGACGTTTAAATAAGAAGAAATCTATAAAGCAAAAAGAGATGAAAGATAATATTTAACTACCTTGAAATTTTAGATAATTTGTTGCGTTATATAAAAGAAATTTATACTATTTAAATTTTTATAGATACACAAAAAACACGGAAAAGGAAGTTTATATGATTGAATAAAGCGGACATTTAATTTGAAGAAAAAAACGAGTATTTTTTTTTTTACTTAAAGTCTCAAACGCTGCCTGAAGTGTTCACTCCCTGAAGGACCTTCCTTTCCAAACATTCCCAGTCTTCAATATGGATGTGACAACAAAATGTATTGCAGTTCTGGCTATAATTTTTGCATTCATTACATTCAACTTATGGATTGTAGCTATGATTACACCAGGATGGTTTATTGCAAGATGGGAAAATATTGACCCACATATAATACAGAAGGTAAGACAGAAGGGTAAATTATAGAAAAGATTAAGGATAATCTGTTAAAGGGGAATAAGGAGATGATGGAAAGATATGGGAAAGAGAAAGATGAGAGAGAACACGGATTGCAGAATGGATATAATAGAAAAGGAGAAGAAAGACGGACTTATTTAGGGGAAAAGAAAAAATGGGAGGGTTACCGTTTTCGTATATATAACAACAATATTATTTGTAGGTAAAAGATGATTGAGGTTTCTGATAACAATTATTACCATCCCTGTTATGCTTTACATTGATTGACACTTTTTAATTGGGAGCAGTATACATGAATTGTATTTTTTCTATTTCACAGGTTTCAAAACCTTTATGGAAATGGATCAACAACTTTGGTGACCCCTTTGAAAAAGTAAGAGAATTTGGCAAAATTTATTGATATTATCTTCCATCATCGAAAAATTAAAATGCTAGAAGTTGGTTTCACTCAAAATGAAATCGTCAAAAGGAATAAACACATGAAATAGAAAGCCATAGAACCTACTATTCAGAAGTTTTGTGTTACGAAAATGTTTGGAATTTTTGCAGGAAATAAAGACAAATGGACAAACCACAAAATATGAATTGAACTTTTGTAAAAATCGTTTTTAATTCAAATAAAGTTCTGCTTTTTTGTTTAATTTCTGCAGCTAATTTTAATGGGGGTTTTTTCAGGGCAGTGTGAGTGTAGATGTTGAAATGAGCATATGGTATTGCTCGGTGTGTTACAAGGACGCTTGCGATCAAGTTTCTTGTCAGGAATTTATTGGAGAAGCATTATTAAGTAAATATGGAATAACGCCAAAAAAGCTCTTTCGTAAGTTCTTTTTTTTTTAGGAAATACATTGGAAATGCATTCGATGTTAAAAAAAATACACATAAACGTATCTGTACGTTTGATGTAGGAAAATAAAGGTAATTAAAAAAATACTTCAGTTTAATTATAGATTTCCGGGAGACAATTACAGTGTATTATGTTTGTTGTACTCACTTTGGTCAATATTACATGTAGCTATATTGTGTATTACAGGAAATATTGGTTATTTGGCCACTCTCATTATTTTTTATAGCATAGATTTTATCGTCACTTTGAATACAGACAAATATGGAATAAAAAACTGTTCTCTTGTGTGTGTGTGTTTTTTTTTCCAAAAAAAAGCTTCACTGAAGGCAGTAGCTTGGATAGAAAGAATTTTTACATACAATTAATTCGCACGTTGTTTATAAAAGACACGAGGTCTTTGGGAGTCAAATAAGCATAATTATTTTTAGAAACCCTCAAAAAGGATATATGAATTTGTCAATTTATCTGGGATAGCCTTTTAGTCCAAAGAATTTAGTAGTTTTTGATCTGTTTACGTATCTCAATTAAAGTGTTATTTCAATATAATATGCAAATATATATATATAAAACGGCACCCATTTTTGTTGATAATTTAGAGGTACTTTGGCCAGGGTGTCTTGCAAGACTGAAATACTCTTAATAAAGATTGGTTCTTGTTTTATTATCATCATGTATTTTTCATCAGAGAGCTCTTTTGCCTGGGTAAATAATGATGAGAAAGCCGCGATTCTTTTCTTGTACCGGTAATTTATCATATTGATTACATGTACCTAATCACAAACAAAATTGGCAATAGGAGAGATTTACAAAAACGATTCCAATGTGGATATCATAGGGATTGTGACGTTTGTTCCCTCGTTAGTTTTAACACAGGTAAAACTTGTGTCTGTCAGTTTTGTACTCTTTGATATAAGATGCATTTGTTATTGATAAATGAGGCTGGAATGTCAACAAATTAACCATCAGACATAACTTATTGTTTTAGACATAATATCTCAAGCTGACACCTATTATATGGCAAAGGAAAACTTCATAAATTTTAGTTGTAAAACTTTCATTTTTGTATATCTTTATATGGGGCTCTTCTTCTACAGGAGGTCAATATAGTCTAAAAATGGTCACAACCACCCAGTTCTCTTAAGATGTTAAGCTTTTTGCCTTTACTAGATCTTTTCCTATTCAATCATTAAACAGAATTTAAATCATTGCAAAAAAATTAAACAAATGTGTATGTTGTCTTAACAAAAATACGACCTCTAATCCCAAAATACTGAGAGATATATTATATATTTCCTTTACTTTAAATAATTCCTTTTGTTCTATCAATATCATTTAAAAACAAATGTTTAATTTTTTTTTTTTAGCTTTCTTAATTGATAGTCAAGTATGGGGGATCATGGCGACATTTTTCTGCCTGTGTAGTTTGAATCTTCTAGTGTTCAATTATGGAAGTGACTCCAGGGTTAGAGCTGGGGGAATTACCATGCTGATGGCAGGTAAAAAAAAAATATTTGCTTTCGATTAATTATAATGATCATTTTCATGTTAACACTTCATAGGCATTTATTAAATGATAGCTATTCCGTTTATTTTATTAAAAACTTCCCTATACCTTTGTCATTCTTGAATTTCCAAAGAATTTAGAAAATGATAAATTCTGTTTTCATTCGCTCATAAATACAGTATAATCTATATGAAACGTTTTAAAAGTTAAAAAAATGATTTTGTGAAGGAAATGAAAAATTAATTTGATTTATACATTTCAGCTATGTTTGAGATGTTCCTAATTTTGCGCATGGCCATGGACAACATACCTGTTGCAGAACTTTTGAAAATGAAAGTGAAGATTCCTTACAGTGTCATTTTTGCTGGAATCGGTTTGTTTTTTAGCGTCCTTGTCATTATTCTGAGTAGAAAAATGTATTCAAAATCACATCATAATTTGATCGGTTTCCCATCAACAACATCACCACGCTATACCCAATTAAAAGAAAGTGACTAATTCAATCTATAACATGCCAACAAGTACGCTTTGAACTGTGTATAATCATGTTAAATATAACATTTCAAAGATCATAACATAATGAAAAAATTCTCAAACAATGACATTTTTTTTTATCAGACTATGTAATTTTTTTTTTTACAAATAAAGTTGTAGAAGACTTTTTCTTAATTCTTCTTTTTTTATAATGTGATACTATAAACCATAAACCTGTTTTGTCCCTTGAAATATTTTTTTTTAAAAATTGTTGAACATTGAATTACATAATCATAGGAAAAATATGTTCTTTAATTATTGTTGATATTAATTTCAAAGGGAATGTAGTTACTTGGTGATCACATATCCCAGATAGAATTATAAAAATTCGTTTCCTTCTAACACACACATTTTGTTATTTTTATATTTTCCTAAAGCAATCTATACTTTATGTGAAAAAAATATTGAAATCTGTCTATGGTGTGGAATTTTGAACTTATCTATAGACATTGAAATAATTGTTTGTATTTTTAAAAAAAAAAAATGTAACTGTAAATCAAAATACGCTTGAAAAAGGTTAAATATATTAATGAACCATGGTCGATATAATAAAACAAATCTATAATTGGTACACATATTTGAATAGAAAAAAAGGAAAAAAATAAAAATTTCGGAGGTAGGATCAGGTACCTTGGAGGAGGATTCATCCTCTGTCTACCAGTCACACCCATCGTCATATTTAGTATTAAAAGAAAGACCAAATATAACTTTTGGAATATATTATGTTGTTTCCTCCTGACAAATTATTTTTTCTTGCTTTTTCATATCAATCTATTTATGAAAAGAAATTGTTTTAAGGATACCCGATCCTCAGCTGGGAAGGATAACTTTGATAACTCTTTAAATTATTATTTTATTTTAAAAGACTAAAAATTAAACTTAAAATTGAATTTTTGTGCAACAATTTTTATTTTATACATCTCAACACGACTAAAGATTCTTTAAAGTCTTAGAAATGGTCTTTTGTAACTTTGACATTTGTATCCCCATGAAGTACAAAATTTTAAAGAAATAAAATCTTCTTTAATCTAGCCCTAGAAACAAATGTTTTAGCATGGTATGAAATTAAAAGTAATCTGCAAAATCTTGCATTGATAGTACAAACATTTTACACTGTGTATTTTATAAGAATTTAACAAAAATAAATGAACTAAAGTTACACACAAGTATGAAAAAATGGCTGTTTTCTCCAAATGCCTGGATACTTAAAATTTTTATTGTGAAATATATTTGTTGATCAATTTACAATTAGAAAATACAAAGTGGATAATTTCATTAACATTTCCTGAAAATGTAATTGAGATCTGATTATTTTCCTTACTTTATATGATTATTAATCACAGGCACCTGACGTTACTTATTTTTCTTTTCATAAAAAAAAATACCCTTACATTATAAGGTAAGGGTATATTTTTTTTATTAAAAGAAAAATAAGTAACGTCAGGTGCCTGTGAAAAAAATCTACAATTCATATACATCTGCGAATAGGTCATTAAATACAGATCCCCTGAAGTTCCTTAGGTACGATTAGGTGTCTAAGAGGAATAAGCATTCCCTGTCATAAGTCAAATTTAGCATAAAAAAGCGTTACATAATAATTTGTATGAAACACGTCAGCCATATAATGACCTAATAATGGTAATCGGGGGCGAGGGGGATGCATATGTGTTCAATGTGGCAACCATAGTATTTACGAAATACATTTATCAAAACAAGATTGTTGAAATCCTTGCAACATCAACTTATCTGTCAGGTACCTGTCTTGCCTTAAAAATCGATCGTACACAGACATGTTCTTTAGTATCAAAACTTTTGGAGAGATCAACATCTTATGTAATTAAGGACAGAACATTACAAGATAATTATAAGGAAGGAAACATGACGAGAAAAGAAGCTGAAGTTCTCTTCTATTTTAGTTATTTTTGACCTTATCTTCGATAGACAGTAAAGCATTTAAATATGAAACAGATGTGATAGTCTCAGTGTTATTTATTATTCCAAATATATTGAGTCGACAAAAACTACGTAAACGTTAAGAAAGGAGCCCCCAGAGTACTTGTATGTAGAATCGGTGTGATTTTAACGAAGTTATCTTGCTATTGTCTATCTATAAAATACGAACATTTCCGAGTTGCATTTTTATTAAAGAGTTAGCCATATTTCATGATATTGAAAACCCTTTTAGTTCACCTCAAAGAATTATTTCAGTGATCATGAATCCCTTCTACATCATTTTCTGGAATGCAATAATACAATTTCTAAAAGGTATGGTGACAATTTACGTTTAATAAAAGTATAAAACATACATATGGAGGGATATGGAGATAACGAACAGTATTCATTATCAAAGTCCATAAAACAATACAAAATAGGAGCAGAGCCAACACGGACCTCCGAAACATCAGAGGTGGGAGCAGGTGCCATGGAGGAAAGAGCATCCCCTGCTGACAGGTCACACTCGCCGTGTGCTCCCTGTCATGATCGGGAAAGAACGGAAAAATTATACATGTAAAGGACATTTCACACATGCGCGTACATAATTTTTAAAAATATGAGATAACAACAATAAAACTTATACTCATAAGAGATCCGAAAACTAAACACAGCTTTTGTATACATGTGTCCATTAATGATAAACTAAAAGGAGATGGCTCGCATTTAGATATGTATAATAAACATCAGTTGAAAGAAACTTCTATTATCATATGACAAAGTTTAACACTCAAGACATTGAATTTAATGGAAACAATAAAAAACAGATAACAATATTGATTCTGTCACTGCCCTTGTCGTCAAATCTAGTTGGATCCACATTTCATACGAAAGAAATATAAAACTATATAAATGATAAATTAATTTCTTGTAAAACTGCAACTCTCAAAATGACTTTGAGGCTCATTTCTGTGTCGCCAACAGATCAGAGCGACATTTAGGAATCAATTTAACGGTCGCCTGTCTGTCTATTCGTCTGTTTTTTGTCATGTAGATCTCGAGAACTGTAAAAGGTGTGGATTTGATCTTTTTGTGCATTTGCTTGGCTCTTTGGCTTTCATAAATAACCATGCGTACTGACCTCGTGACCATCTAACTTGACATTTTGACCAAGAAAATAACCTTGGGAAGTTTAATTATACTTATTATTTGAACTCTGAGAGGCGAGGTCTTATAATTTCAATATGATGCATTTATATGCATGTTTATGAGCTCAGGATACTGTACTTTGAAATTGTATGATATGTACCTTTTTTAATACATGTACATTGAAATTACCTCAGGGTCGTCCTTTCAATGTGGATTTTGTAGACGGACACATTGTTGTAAGGACAGACTGTAACCTCTCTTTGAGGATTGATGGAAAATACATGAACATGTATTTTCATTTGAAGGCTGGGAAGCCATCATTTCTTTGATTGACAGATTTTATTGCAGTCTTAAACTATACAATAACGCTTTTTTCTTTGTGGGAAAATTCATAAACTATTATGCTTATACTAAATAGCTGATCACTCTCAGGTTTATTTACAATTTTAAAAGCTACAAAGCAGGCAACACATGCATTCCTTGGATCCCAATCATGACAAGAAGCACACGGCAGGTCTAACCGGTCGGCAGGGGATGCTCACTCCTCCATGGCACATTATCCCAACTCTGATGTTTTGGAGGTCCGTGTTTGGTCTGCTCCTGTTTTGTATTGTTTTATGGATCTTTGGTTTGGAATACTGTTCGTTATCTCCATATGTTTCATTGGAACACTCTTGTATTCAACTAGGGGTGCTTAATTTTAATAACAATTCAATCTTCAATTAATACTACAGTGTATATGTTTCTATACAGAGAAAATTGGGGGGGGGGGAATGAAAAATTGTTTTCATCACATTGCCGACGACATTTATAAACATTTTCACGACAATATTATACAGATATGGCTCAGGTAAATTTGAATTTCTTTTCTTCAAATAATAGATATCAACTGTTTTTAAGTTTTTGAACTGATTTCTTTAAGGACAGAAATGTTGTCAGAGGAAGTTGTCGAAATCAAATCCAGCGTCTGGTCGTCTGCACATTGTTTCCGAAGCTTTGAGTATAAAATCCCAATTAATGACGAAGTAAAGAATCCGAACAGAGATCCGATGAAGGCAAGGATAATTGAGTAAGGTGTATTGACTTCCATATTCATGGCATCGACAAGATTGGCCATCTCAAAGTTTGGCACGGTCATTCGAATGGCCAGAATTAATGAAAATATACCTAAAAATAGAATTTAAACGGGATTCGTAAATCAGCAAATCTACATTCATAAAAAAAAATTTAATGTATTTTAAATGTTACATTTATCAGAAATAGCGTTTATTTATTATTGCCTAAAACTGTAATAAACTTATATTAAAGTATTTTCATCCTCACAATTTTACGGGTTTAAAGAAGAACAATATTTATTTTCGTTGAATATAGTTTAAATTAATTAATTGCTAAAAATTTATAAGCTGCCATATTTCTTATGATGTAAGATTAGGAAGTAAGTTTTTAATAAATATATAAACAGAGGTACATGTATATACCAACACTAAGAAAATCACATATTTTTAGTAAACAGTATAATGGTAAAAATTATGTAAAAACTTGTTCAATACTTAATTCTGTTGTGGAAAGTTCTAAAAGTAATTATTTCTTTATAGATATGTTTGAATTGCGAATAACAGGTCAAACAAATTACATTAGAAGTTAATACCGATAAGAATAATACTACATGAGAAGACATTATTGGCCCTGGCAATTTTTTCAATTAAATAAGAAAATTTTAAATTCTTTTACTAAACAATATCATTTTTATTAAAAGACATTAATTCCTCCAAAAGATATATTTTTATTGTGTATGAATTTAAACTAATAACAGATTTTACGAAAACCTACCTGTATGACATCAAAAGGGGATGGAAATACATGTACCTATTTATATGTATGACTTTGTGTGGGTGCAAGAGAGAGAGAGAGAGAGAGAGAGGGGAGGCGAGGCTGTTTTAGGGTGTGCATGTCTGTGTGCGTTCCTCTATTTCTAACTACATCTTACAGGCCAAAACCATGACGATTCCTCCGACAAGAACATGAAGAGAAGATTTTAAGTTCAGTAAGAGAAGAATGTAGCTCGTAATGCATAAAACGAGAGCAGATACCCCCATTATCTTCATTTCAAAAAACGATGCTGTAAACATTGAAAAAAACATGTATTACATAATTATTGCAATCTACGAAAAAGGTACACATTATTTTGAATTATATTTTGAATTCTAAGAACGCAATAAATTTTCCATTATGGGCGAGATTGTATCTTCTGGTAAAACTTTGGTGGATATCCACCGTAAATATGTTTGTTTTCCTTTTAAAAATAAGTACACTGTAAGCAACTTACGAATACTGGTAAGATATTCTGTGACTTTTAATCCACTGCTGCCGTAGGGTACCGGAAGGCACTGACCTTTCTCACATAAGAGGAGATAAAAAATGCTCATCTGGACGGATATCTGTGGCTATATTTAAGATTTTTACAAAATTAGAAACAAATACCGGTAGATTTTAACTACCAGATACAATAAATTTTTTATATGATTTTTGACTCCCTCTAAATTAGTCATACTTTTCAGGGGATCTTTTTACAAGAAATCTGACGGCTAAGAATTTTTAGACCCCTGTAATTTTTTTCTTAATTATTTTTTTTAATTTGCATTATTCAAAATAAAATTTAAAAAAAAAACAAAAAAATATAACTTTTTATAACGAAACATTAAATTAAATTACAATAAATAATATACGAACCATTTGTACGATGTTCTCTAGATATTTTCCCGTGTCGACATCATTTTCCTGTCAGATATTATGATTTTTGTCAAAAAAAAAGTTGTATTTTTTATATAGTAGAACGTTTTTAGAAATTTAGTTATCAATTCAAACAAAACCAGATCAAAATAGAAAAAAAGTATAATAAAAATTTCTCCAATTAAAATATCCTTACATTATCCGTAGAATTTATAGTAAATGAAGTCATAAAAGAACTATTGGAATCCTGAAAAGAAAATAAATTTACATTATAGTCCGAATTTTTAAGTAATAATTTTTCTTTAATTAATAAGCATGCAAAGTTATTTTTGAACAAGGTGGTTGGATTTTTTTTTTCAATTAATATGATTTCTTGAGTACAAATTTAACCATGTCTTTATCATTTTTTAATTCAAATATCTATCAGTTCATCATAACATTTTCTCAAATGAAATGGCAATTTCTTTACCTTCTCAGAAGAATAGCTTGTGTATGAAATCATGGATGGCTTAAAGTAATCCTTCAAAGAAACAAAAACGTTGCAGTTTTATTCAGTTCTCTTACCAATAACCTTTATCAGAAGCGTGCAAAGTTTAATTTAAATGTGAGCAAGGTTTAAAAGTTTCATTCCTTTGATATTCTGACAAGATATAACGAATAAAACTGTTTCTTTCAGTCAAACTGTGTTACGAAAATTCTAAATCTCAATACAAGGGGAGTTTTACTATCTATAAGTAAAGCCTTTTTAGTTAAGAATAAATATAGTTTTATTCCACTATATCTTACCACGTGAAGTGGGGGTACTTTATGAGGTTTCGGAGACGTTATGATCCACCCAGGCGTTGAAATGGCCGCAAGCCAAAAAATGAATGTAATGGACATCAGAAACAATGCTAACACTTTTAAACGTTTTGTGTCCATTTTATAAACTTCAATATGGCTTTCAATCTGTGGAAGAAGAAAACATATAACAACGTCATTTTGAGGCAAAGGTGATTGAATTATATTAGATGAAATTTTCAAAAACTACAAATTACGTTCAAAAAATTTAAAATCGCACTTTTTTTTCAAATTCTCTAAACTTTATACAACCACCCCTCCTAAGGAATTAAAAACTAGGCTTTTTTAAATCATAGACAACTGTTCTTCGATTAAAAATGGAAATCTGATTTCTTTCTATCTTGTGATTTGTCATTAACAAAATTTCTTTTATCTAACAACCAAGCTCTGTGATAAACATGAAGACTTTAACTTTTCTATCGTCAACTTCCCTTACTTATGCAGCAATATACCTTCATCAGCTGCGTACAGAGTTTATATATCTCAGTTGATTCGATACGCAAGAGCATGCTCTACGTACAAACAATTTCAAAACGAGGTAAATTATTGACAAACAAGTTGATGAAACAAGAATATCAGCGGTCTCGTTTCAAGTCATCATTTCGAAAACTCTATGTTCGATACAATGACCTTGTCAGCAAATACAATTTATCATTGAGTCAAATGCTGACTGACGTTTTTCATTCTAATTGTTAGTTCATTATATATACACTGAATTGACGACGGATTTTTTCCGTTCTTTCCCGATCATGACAATGAGCACACGGCGGGTGTTCAAACCATGACCCCCGGGGGCTGGGCGGGGCCACAATAGGGATTCAAAATTTTACTTAGAAATATATAGGATTTTTTTTTTAAAATCTTCTCAAGAACCACCGGGCCAGAAAAGCTGAAGCTTATGTGACAGCATCCTGGGTTAGTGTAGATTCTAAATTGTTCTAGTCATGACCCCTGGGGGTAAGGCGGGGCAGCAATGGGGAATCAAGTTTTTACATAGAAATATATAGGAAAAAATATTTTAAAATCTCCTTCTCGAGAACCACTGGGCCAGGAAAGCTGAAACTTATGTGAAAGCTTCCTAGGATAGTGTAGATTTTAAATTGTCCAAATTATGACCAGTGGGATGGGGGGTCACAATATGTATTACAAGGGGGAAATCTGATAAAGAACAGCACGGTCAAAGCTTCTCGGGTGAGCGATGTGGCTCATGGGCCTCTTGTCCTGATTTGTATTGTTTGACTATTGACCTCAAATGCAAGTAAGTAGTTCCATTTTCATGTTGAATAGAACAAAAGAACTTAATTTACCGTCATAGGGGCAGAATGAAACAAAACGAAACAAGTGCCCTTCAGAACTCGGTTCCTGCTACTCCTTTATATTTCACTCATTAGCATTTTTATGTCCTTTTGCATGATGATTTGGGAGTATCCTGTAGTTGTATAAAACGTTTCGTAATTTTCATTATCAAACCGGTGGATCAGATGGGCGCCGAAATAATGACATTTTTAAATTTTAAAAAATAATAAATAAAAATCTGATTCCAAGAATTCTTCATAAAGTTTCAGAGTAGCCATTTCCTCTTTTGAAAGATGATTAGTGCTATACAGATATGCAATAAGGGTTTGGAATTGTTTCTTTTCCCTTTTTTTTTTTTTGCCCTTGAGGCCAAAGTGGGGAGGAAAATGGTTTTTGTCTCGGGAAGTTAAGGGACGATTTTAGGGTACGGACGAATTTAGGGTACACGACTTGTTTTCAATTTGGTCAGTTTTACTTATACATGTGTTGTGGATTACATAAAATGTTGGTTTGATTTTGCCTCCCGGTACTTTCGTTATTATAACATTTGGATTTAATAGTCATTTAAGAAATAAAGTCCGCGTTTTCGTGAATGTTGCAGAATAACCTCCGAGGTCGAGAAATGTTGTTTGAAAGATAAAAGCCGAGGCGTTAGCCGAGGCTTTTATATTTCAAACAACATTTCGAGAACGAGGAGGTTATTACTGTGCATCATTCACGACAACAAGGACTTTTTTCTATTAACCAAGACGGATAAATACGGCTGATCGTTTCCTCTATAGAGAAACGAATTAGGTCACCATGTCTCGATTACGCTGTTCCATTTAACACCAGAGGTAAAATTTGTTTGCTTACCTGTGTATGGAATGCAGACGATCTGAGCTTTCGTTACATTAAAAATAGCCTTTTTTAAATTACAAATTTGTTCGTTTTATGTATTGATCAGTTAAAGAGAATATACAATAACAAAATCATGTTCCTGTTTTACTGCTAAAATCACGTTGTTTAATGTGTAGGGAGGTCCGTGGAATAGCCCCGCTTAGCTATAAAAACCGACTTCATCAGCAACTTTATGAAATTTACAGTGTTTATTTCTTACAAAGACGACACATCGATGCTGTCTAAACAAGTATTTCATTCTACAGCCAAGCATGCATTTGAATTGTTTTAATTTGATACGTGTTTCTGATCTGATAATTTTTTGATGACGTTCGTGATTTATTGGAGAATAATGTCCGGCGGTTCCCTTTGAAGTTTTGAATAATCGTGGTAGAATTTAAATTAAATTACATTTTTGAATCACACAAAACTTTTCTGTTGCTTGGGAGCAATTAAAAAATTTCACTGAGAGCAATTGCTTGGTTTAAATGATGTTTTTCTTAAACATATACTAAAGAAACATAAAGAGATAACGAAAAGTATTCAATATCAAAGTCCATTAAAGAATACAAAATAGGAGCAGAGCAAACACGGACCTCCAAATATCGGAGGTGGGATCAGGTGCAAATAAGTTCAGCCCGTCAATTACAATATATGAAATATCTGTTCCCGAGAAATTGCATACATTTCCGATTGAAATATATGCATGCATCTGCCACTGTGTAAATTTTGAAAATTGGTTCCTTTAGTTATTCAAAAACGCATATTAAACAGGTTGGTTACTAAATCTGAAATTCATAAAAGCAGTGACTTCATGATTTATTTTGTTCAACGCCCATATTTAAACATTTCTCATATATGTATGATTCGCTTTTTATATTCACTTTTCGGTGAATTAAATTATTTATATAGTCAATCCTTATAGAATTAAAGTATTGGATATTTGAACTTAGTCTTTAAGTAACATTTCCTACCTGTTTTATAATTTCTTCGTTTGCTGGTGCACACGATTGATTATTATAAATGCAATCAAACACAGCTTTGGACGTATTATAAGAATGAGAAGCGCATGTTATGCATATTTCTAAAAATAAACTGTTATGTTGTAAAATTCCCGATTACGTCAAAGAATGAATTAAGCTACATAACATTTATTTGTAAACCAAAGGTGTGGTAAAATCGGTAAGATCAGAAAAGCCCTTCCTATTTTTTTTTAAACTCACTTCTTTTCATTTACATAGCATGCATCCATTTAACCATATACTAGTATATATTTCCTGCGTAGAAAATGTTAAATCTCTCTTAAGGATATTTTTTTTTATTTCAGTGAGAATAAAACCAGGTAATCAAGAGATGACCGCGTTTGAACGCTAGCTTAAAACGTCTCAACATCATGTTCTTTGCGTATATACACGGGGCAAATTAACTTTGGAAAGAATACATGTTACTACCCATTAGAATATTCGACAAAAATAACGTTATTTTTTCAGCATTTTACTTTAGTTAGTATTATAGATTAAAATATAACTTAATTTAATTAAATTCATTTACTTAGATATATATTGATGTGCACCAGCACAAAATTTGCCATACATTAATTTGTGATGACAATGGTCTATTTATACTTTATTTTTGTTTTTATTAGAATAGGCATTTTGTTTTGGAATAAAACATTTAACACATTCTCTGAGCTTTGCTAATCCATTTACCAGATCTGCGGTTCGCCCTTTAGCATCATGAACGCACCAGTCTGAATTAATCAACTACAATCCTTATAGTGTCTATATTTAGATATGACTGTTCTCATTACCCCGCAGTGTGTTGAAATGACTATTTCTGCATGTCCCTATCCGGATTCCATTTCAGACACATATTTGACAAAAAAATTACTTGACCTTATCAATGACCAGATGATAAGTTTTGAACAGTTGTTGATATGGCTTTCATAATTCACATGAGTATTCATTGTTTTAAAATCTTTTCATAGGTATAATGATTTTGACATTGGAGTTTGACCCACTCTTAAAATGTTTAAACTTGGCAATAACTCTTGAACAGTGGGTACTAGGATTCTCATATTTCACAGATGTAATACTTGTGAGAATATCTAAATTTGGATACCAATAATTTTGCCTTTTGACCTCAAAGTATAGTCTACTTTTTTCAATTTTTCATGTTTTAGAACAGTTTGTGCAAGGACTGACTACCACTCATTTTGACCCTTTGACCTTGGTCAAACTTTTGTCATCATGTTTAAATGATCTGTGCTTGGGCTTTCATGTTTCGTAGCTATATTCATTAAAACAAGCCCTTCCTTTTGGTGACATATTTTATCTCATGACCTTAACCTTGGACTTTGACTTGTATTTGAGAAACTTTGACTTTAACAACATGAACAATAAGCTGTCATACGGGATGTCAGTGTTTCACAAACACATTTTGTTTTCCATGTACCTCAAATGATGGAATTACCTATATATTATTTATTTTAAATAAGTCTCCATTACATTTTGACTTTCACATTTTGCTCAGATACTTTTTATGATTGATTGATTGATTGTATGTTGTTTAACGTCCCACTCGAGAATTTTTCACTCATGTGGAGACGTCACCGTATGCTGGTGAATGGCTTCCAATTTACTGCTATGTGTCGATACTTAAATTGATATGCCAATATATCATTATATTCTATTGTATACAGCAGTTTATACTTTAAGATATTCTGGTTTTTAACATTAATTTTTTTTACATTAAATGTGACGGGCTGTCCTTAAATGTGAAACATGTACTTTGGTGAAATTTTTATAAGCAGAAACTCGAAAAGAAGATAGACAAACTCCTCTACCTGTGTCCAGAGAAAAGCTGTTTGTATTTCTTGAATAAACGTTTTTCGACGCAATAAAAAATGATCCCCTGACCCCTGCCATGCAATTATGACATATATGATAACTATCTGATTAGCCTAGCTATAAAAAAGGGGGGGGGTGTTAGATATAAAAAATGATTGATTCAAGTAAATTCACTTAAATATAAAAACCTTTACCACTAATGAATACACAAGGGAAACTTAAAAACTTTAAAATATACGAAAAATAATATAATTATATAATGATAACATTTCAATTCTTTATTTCCTTATGCCAAATGGCACATCAGACAGATATACATGTACATTGTATTATAAACAAGGTATACATATATTCAGATCTTTCAATTGTATAATAAATGTTTACATATATATAACATCTTAACACTAAATATTAAATATTTTCTTAAACATTAAAATATATCAAAACATTATGCCCAATGGAGCGAAAAGCACAAGCACGATCCGGGCTGGGTTGGCATTCTTCAAGCTCACGGCTGGATATCTTAATCCGTATCAGAAAGTTTTTTGATTTTTTGTTAAATCTCTAGGCTGTCGGCATTCTTCTATATAGCTCATACAGTGTATATGGATATCTCAATCCGTGGCAGAAAGTTTTTGATATTTTTGAATCTCTAGGCTGTCTGGCGTCCAATGCAACGGTTGAAAGTATACAACAGTCTTTGTAATAGTGTAGGCTGGAATTTAAAATGAAAAAATTATATCAATATTCAATGGCATATAAATACACAGTGTGCTGAGATATCTTTATAATGACGGCATAAAAACAAATAATGCTTCAACAATGAATTCTTTACCTTTCGTGGGGTAATTTTTACATCAGCCGCATCTGTGAACGCTTCTATTATATTTTTTCTTATTAGCCTGCTTGCCTGAATGATAGAAATATAAGACAATACTGTGGAATGTGATTCAATTACATCACTAATACCATCATTAATAAGTTCTTTTATTTTTTAATTATGTAGCTTATATGTTGTTTTTTTTTTTAAATGATTTTTTATATTAATCTTTACATAAAATCTTTTGACTCTAACAAATTAGAATTATTGACCATCTTTTCGATCAATACTCCGGAATCTTGCATGAACAGATATAATATTTGATAAAACGTATAAAATGCTTTTGACCTTTTCTTAATGATACAAAATTTCATTTAAAAAAAATTACATGCAATATTAAATAATGAAAGATTTGTCAAAGCAAAACCAAAAGAAACAAACAAAATTCAGTAATTCGAATTTACAAACATAAACATAATTTTATGACAAAAAGCATGAAAATTTCAATACAAAACTTACTGATAATTAATTCCTGATTAATTAAAATGAATTCCGTCTTAAATTTTAGTACTATTTTTGTGATACCTATGCAATATTCAGCTGATTTTAAACTATAACATATATACTAGTAATATTTCAGTAAATCTAACTCCAGTAAATCAAATCATTTTATATTTTGAAAATATAAATAATATTATTTTTATGACATTAATTTTGAAATTCTCCTGAATGACCTTGACTTAATGTCAGATGTAGGTCATGACGTATTTTTTTGTCAGGTCTGAGCTTACAATATATTTCTATTACATGTAGAAAGTTAAAGATCTGGTATGACACAAATTATGGACTTTTTGAAAACCAATGTCTAAAAAATACTTAGATAAAAACATCTTGAGTTAGAGGCATCATTTATAACGGCTTACCTTCTTTTTCACACCTGGACCGAGGGAGACGTCACTATCCATTCTATCAAGGAGAGTTTTCTGTAAAATTATATATTTTTTATAATTAATAATTCAAACAAATTAGTCGGTGTTGCCTGGTTCCCTATTCCTGTTATTTCCCGCCTTCACATGTACATCTATAAACAAGGGAACCAGGTAAACTGTTTCGTTTGGAGGGGACAACCCCACCCCCCAAAAATACATTTTACTTTAAGTGTGTGGTGTCATATTACTATGTTCAAACAATCAATAAATTCAATAAAGTATGACAATTCCTTAAATTGTTAAATATTTTATAAGTTTCTTAAAAGATGCAATTTATGCTTCTGAAATACAAATTAGTTATCAATAAATTAAATAATCTAAAAATTCATACCGAATCTCCTATGTAAATATTCTTGCAGTATGCCTTTACCTCTTGATCAGGGTCATCTTCATTCTTGAATACAATTTTACTAATTAGAAACCTAATGTACTTGATGCAATTTAATCATTTGAACAATCTGTTCCATATTTTTCACATATAAAATATACACATGCATACTCACATATTTTGTGGTAACTTTTTTTTCATTTGGTGGAAATAAAATCATTTTCGTTACCGGTTAGGAAATTTATTTTGTGACAACCAATTCTACTAGCATGACAATGAAATGCTTATGTGACCTTTTCTTATCGAAGGTTCGTCTGTCGTAAAATTTTAACTTTTTTTTTTCAGGAACCACTGGTACAAAGCATTCTTATTGATGAACGGTTCACATGAACGGTAGATATGAAGGTTGGCGCCATATGGGTCGCAACGGATTTACATACAGAAATATCGAATTAGAGAGGGGAATAGGTATTCAAAGTTTAACATGCCCGAAGGGAACATAAAGAAATGCGGTTCAGTGGTGGATTTAAGGGGGCGGACCAGTCCCCCCTCTAAAATTGTCAAAGTTAGCGTAAATCATAGTTTCGTCGAGAAAATGTAACGAAAAAACTGTCTACTCGGTAGACCTCATTTTTACCCTACAAAATCTCTAGAATCAAGGAGCCCTGGACCCACTGGGGCCTCAAGGCGACCCCCAAACCCCTGCCTACTTTTGGCGGCCCCTCTAACTTCAATTCCTGGATCCGCGCCTGCGGTTTTATTTTCTCTTCAAGTGCAAATTAGGCAATCCAAGTATTAGATGCCCGAAAAAAAAAATACTAGTATACTAATGAATGAATTCGTTTAAAAATC